AATAAATAAACACATCATGGTAAAATTAAAACCTTCTCAGCTTCGCATCGAAGCTAAAACTTATTGCATGGTGTCAGCGGCATAAATGTCGTGATAAACACAAAACAAAAATAGTATGACGCTGACTTGCTCATATCAATTATTGTGATTTTGTTTAATTTTATAAATAAGCATCACCCCAATTAATGTATATCTAATATTATCATACTTTATCAGTGTGATACATTCAGATAACAAATTAATATATATTCTTCATAAGAAAATTATTTTATTTTTTCAAATATTTATTTATTAAAAAACCTTTTGAAATATTACCTATAATATACTTTACAAAATAATTTCAAATGTAATAATTCTTACTCTGCTTTTTTAGGGTTCAGAAATTCTTCAAATCCTAAGTTTTTGTACCAAACTTCTACAATTTTGTTGAAAAACTCATTATGTAATTCTGATACTTTTGAATTTAAGTCTAGAGGTAATCCCGTAATTTTAATATTTTCTAAATCTTTTGCTAGAATAATGTCCATAAAGTAACAATTTTGAAAATAAAATTCTACTCTCTTTGATGCGTCTGTATGAAATACTGTCAAATTCTCAAATTTCTTTTCAGAGATTTCATAAGGTGATTTGTTGAGATCAAAAGAGTTAGTCTCCAAACTTATTTCTAAGACGAACTGATGTATAAAGTCGATTGCATCAATTATAGGATGAGGTATGAAGCCTTCAGAAAACAAAAATCTTGTATCTATATAGCTTAAAAACTTCATAGCATTGTATAGATTTTCAATCATAGTTTTGGAATTTTTTAAAAATCTTTCAAAAATTTGTATAGAAAGAATAAAATTATTCAATACATTTTCTTCATAAAATTTCTGGCCTTTATTGAGGATAAGTTTTATTAAATAAAGGAATTTTCTTAATATTTCAAGGTACTTGAAATTTATTATACCTATTATATAAGAATATTTTTGTCTAAAATTCAACATTTTAGAATTTGGTTGGACAGCTTCGTCTATATCCATAGTATTATTTGAATCTTGTTTTCGATACGATATAATTTGTGAATAAATGTGACTCACCACCCTTTCGATATAATTTTTATACATAGCATTATAACTTTCACAATGAACTCCTTTTTCTGGTTGCAAAACGAAAACGACAATAAATATTAAAATAAACGAAAAAAAATTCATTCTAATAAAATTCTAATATGAAAAATTTTTCGTTTAAATGTTAGGTAGATTTATATTAAACATAAGTAAATGTCTTTTTTATTATTTAATATCACTTATTTAATAAAAAATATGTGTAAAGAATATAAATCTTTTTTCTACGCCAGTAAAAATATGTTTAAATAGAATATAGTGCTTCATTGTATTACATTTTTAAATAATTTTTTATAGGATGTATAGGTTCTATTATCACCTATATTGATATATTTTTTCTTTGAAATCCTGTGATTATAACATCAGTTGCTTACAAAAATATTTTATACTATACTATACTATTTAATATGATGAGACCTAATAATAACTGTTAAAAAGAATTTATTTAAAATTCATATGTAAATTTTTTTATGTAATTTCAATAAAATTCAATTATCCCATGAATAGTGTATAATAAAAAAATCTTGTACAAAAATTTCTTTTGAAATCATATTCTAAATAAATTTATATATTCAATTTCAAATTGTTAGAAAAACATAGTGGTGTTAATAAAAAAAAAACGACATTGATAAGATCCTTACGTAGATATAAATATTTTTGAGTCTGGTCAAAACAACAGTCTAGAGGATATTTTAAAAAATATTGATGTCAATATCTCAATAAAATATACTCTCTAATAATGATACTTATTTAAGTCTAGCTACCCAGTAAGAAAAGCTCATAATAAATATTTTCCATTACATCAATATTATAGTAGAATAAAATAATTTTTTAACTGTTTGAAGTTTAAAATATTAAATAACATTTATTTCCATGATAAAAAAACCCCAGCACAGGGGGTTCGTGGCATAGTTTTGATCAAGTATAAAATATCGAAAATTAGCGATTTTTAATTTTGTAATTTTTTTTGAGGTTTCCCCCATTTACTGGGAACGAAGGAATTTTTTTTATTTTTTGACGTATCTTTGAAAGAAATCGGTTCGGTGAGAGCTGAGAAAAGGTGGTAATAGACATAAAAAAAAAAATCATCGTTAAACAATACCTTCTCAGCTTCATCGAAGCTAAAAAGGTAGCACATTGGGTCGCGGCACACTGTGGATGTGGCATAGATGGAACAAGTATAAATGATATCTGACAGAAATTAAAATCACTATTATAAGAAAAGTTTCGATGTAAATATATGATAGTGTTTAAATTTAAGAAATTGATGGATTATACCAAAAGCAATATGAAATCCTATTTCCTTTGTTATTTTATTATTAGTAGTTTTTTATCTTAGAAGTATAATATATGAATAAATATTTATTGTAACAATTAAATTAGTATGAGATTGATTTTTCATAATTTAGTAATGTAATTTTTTTGGAATTTCTAAAAATTTATAAATATTGATAAAAAATTATAGAGTACTTATTTCTTTGTAGCATACATGTGTAATAATTGAAGCGTTTGATACAAAACTTTTTAGATAATAATATGTTAGTTATCATTAAATAGTTTGCTAAACATTTTCATCAGAGACAAAAATATACTTTAATATTTCAATTATTCTTGCAAATTTCAAATCAGCAATCTTTATTTTTTCTATGACCAATAATTTATGATTTTATAACTAATTAGTTAAAAACCATCAGATATAACTATAAGGAAAATAGTTCTGAATATTTCAATTGTATCATCTATTCCAACACCAAGAGTTACATAGAAATGATTAATATTTTATTTTAAAATGATTTATTACGACAAAAGAAATTGTTTTTAATTTATTACAGACTTTGATTTTAATGTTAAAAATAATCAGTACAAAATATCATATTTAACCTAATTTTTTCTTCTTTTAATGATGATTTTTTGAAAGTTTTTAATAAAAAAAAAGTTGATTGGTAACTATGACTTTTAGCTCAACTTGCAAGTTTGAAATTTAAATTATTAAATAGAACATTTTATGAAAATTAAAAAATTGTCATGTCTTAATTAATATGCACTTAGGAAATTGTAAAATTACTATTTATTGCAAATTTATCAGTAAAGCTCAATATTTTTTTTACATTTTTATTGTAATAGATCATTAGTAGAAATCATAGTAATCATTTCTAAGGAACTTTCGGTGTTTATAAAGATTCTACAATTGAAATATTTAAAATATAATTAATTTTAACTTTATAAGATTTACTTTATCTAAAATACCAATCATAGTGTTGTTAAAAAATCTACTCAATTGAACGTATTATAAAATGTTATTATTATTATTAAGTCTTCGATATCTGTGGTCATTAGCCAGAATTACATTTATATGTACATTTAGTTTATAAAATTTTTACAATCAATTTATGATAATAATAAAAGTCCATTCAAAATTATATATTAAATTAAAGAGTATAGGTTTAGTAATTGTATGTCTTTTAGGATGTTTTCTTCGTTATTTTCTTTCAGGATGTTTTCGATGTTGTATGGCAGTTTGAATATGAGACGTTCGTTGTTATATTTGGTACATTCTGTATATATGTGTTTTATGGTGACAAGTTTATTGCAGTTTGGGATTATTGGTTGTGGTTCGTGGTTCAAAACGTGTGCTTGGGTGAGGTTACTATGCCATATTCGAGTTCTTGTTAGGATTACGTCTTGTCTTCTTGTCAGAGTTACGTTTGAATGCCATTTATTTGTGGTTCTTTTTATTTATCCAAGTTTTTTGTTGTGATATATCGTTCTATATAATTTGCCATTTTTGGTCTATTACTTTGGTTATTTCGTGTAGTACATCATTTGAGGGAATTCCTGCAGTAATATCCGTGTTAGATTATATAGCAGCTTCATTTGCTGCTGTATCTGCTGCTGTATCTGCTGCTGTATCTGCTGCTTCATTTCCAATGATTCCTACATGGAAGAGAACCCACATGTATTTTATGTCTTTGTTTGTATTTGCTAATATAGATCGGATGTTCTGAATTAGTTCGTTTTTCGTATTTGGATTTTTGATAGCTGTAAGTACACTGAATGAATCACTTAGGGTTAGTCTCTTATTGTTTGCAATATATTTTGTGTATTGACAACCTCAGTCTCACCAGAAGTTCCTATACTGTATTTAAGTTCTTCAGAGGACTCGTTCACATTGAACAACTTGATTACGTTAATGTCTAATAAATTCCTCGTACATATTAATGATTGGGTACAGTTTAAAAGTATTTTTTATAATCTTCGGCAAACCCTAGTATATGCAACAGCAGTATAATCCCAGAAAAATATGTACAGTAGAAAAAGTCTTTATTGTCTTCAGCAGTAATGTCCCATGCCGCAGTGTGTAGTTCGTTGATATCAGCGTGGCTATAAGAGCAATAGCCTTTCAAAGTAAATGTAACGCCCGGGTTACGTATTTTTTGTATTTGAGTACCGTTTATTTCATAACGTATTTCAGAAAATAAATATGCGAGTCCATTATTAATAAATCTAAATATTTGTTTCACAAACTTGTTCATTAAACTCTAGTAACCGCGTGATATTATCGGTTGCCGTAAAATCAATGACGTTCCTACACGTCTAAGTACTTTTCAATGTAACTTCGTCTGGTTCTAAAGAAAACGATTGAACGTATGGTTCCAACAGTTTTCTTAATACGGCTTCTAACTGTGCCAATTTGTATGATCCCGTCGGTATTGTAATTTCCGTTATTACACTCTCAAAGTCATGAACATCGATTTAATTACAGTCAGTTATAATATTAGGAATTGAGTTATTAGTATACAAACTCAAAAGACAAATTTCGGCACCCTCTTCAAATTCCAGAGGCGGATAACTACTACAACTCAATTGTAACGAAGCACAAGTTTAGAGCTTTATCAGCTTGATACCGTAAATAGTTGTACACCCATTAAAATATTTCTGCAACTCTAGAGGTAGAGCTGAATCACCTTAACTATTGAAATAATGTACTATATTGTTATTTTTTCTATAGCACGTCCAATGAGTACCTGGCTCGTTTTGTTTGCTTAAATTAATAACTGCACTCTCGTTTTTTAAAGAACGTACGGGCAATGTGTCTCTGCTAAAGACCCCTCTAAGATGAGGTATTTTCAATCAATTTCCATATTTTATAATTTGATAGTCATATAGAGCAGCCTTTGGCAGATTTGATATTAGTTTTTTGTCTTGGGCGGTGATAAAAATAAACGGGCACCGTTCTTATAAGGTTAAATTTATAAACCTTTGCCGAGTTTTACTGTAGATTTTTTATCGCTTGCTTCTTTCGCATGTATGATTGTATGTATAATATTACTACCGGCTAGAGATCCTAAACTATGTAATTTACAGAAAAAATCATAAAATTTATTTTGTAGAACTATATGTTTTCTATAAAAAATATTATTATAAAAAAGTCCGTATATATAATATTTTGGCCTAGAAATTTCAAAAACAACATATATTTATTTGAACCACTGAATTCAGTTTTATTCGTTTTCTTAAGTATTGCAGGCGCAATATTGAACCTATAAAAAAAAGTTTCATACAAAAATTGTTCAATATTTAATTTTCATTATAGTTGTTGTATTTATTGTTATCAAATTATGTTAAACTATTCGCGTATTTATTCGCGAAAAATGATTTTATACAAATACAAAAGTACAAAACAAAGCAAATTAATTCAATTATATATATTTTTTTATATATTTATATTTGTATATTTTTAACTACTGACGAAGCTTTTACATAACTCTTGTTATCGATCCATTTGGAAGGATTTCCATTCAAAAATTGAGTATTAATATTGAAATGGCTAAATAGTTGGTAAGAATTTTCACTTATTAATTGATAAATTTCTTTTTCTAAAAACACATGAGCTTATTTCGGAGAAACGATTAAAAAAAAGAGTCCCGCTCCTTGGCACACGCCTCACACCGGAAGAGGGTGTGCAGAGCGCTGTTAGCCTCACCCGGGCGATCCGAACAGTGGTCGCACGCCGGCGCAGCTGCTTTATGAATACGGTGCAAGTACTCGTTAAAGCAGCCGTGGCCTAGCATCATTTGGGTGAGACCATAAGTCATCTCACCGTGAGTCCGGTCCACACACCTGTCCAGCCGATCGGGCCCTATGAGGGACC